CCTCCTCGGCACGCTGCCTTTCGTTCTCGATCTCCTCGCGAAGGAGAACTTCGCGGCGCTCGGCACGGGCACCAACGCCTGCCCATTCCTTCTCGATGTTTTCCACTATGGCCTTTGCTTGGGCCTCACGCTCTTCCATCATCTCGACGAGACGTTTGAGGCCTGCTGCTTCCGCTGAGTACGTTGCCTCCTGCTCGGCGAGCTGGCCAGTTAGGTCTTGGATGCGAGTGAGTGCCTGCATGTGCTGGTGGGACTGGGCGTTGTATGAGGACTGAAGGGTTTTGAGGGAGCTCTCGGTAGCAGCGTGGGTCTGAACGAGTGAGTCATGGGCGGCTTGAAGTTGGGCAAATTCTGCATGCTTGGTACGGCGATACTTGGCAAACTCCTCGGACTTGGCAGTGAAATCTGCTGACGTGCGTTCGGCTTCGTCGCGTGCAAGTTGGAGTTGTTGTGAAAGGGAGTCGAGCTTAAACTATAGGCAGAGGTATTAATAGAGTGCATAGGGGCTATTAAGTGACAAACCTTCGTGGATGTCTCTGTTGACTTGAGTTCCCGTGTTTGACTTTCCAATGCCTGGTAATCCTGTCTTGCCTGCTTGAGGTTGCTGCGAAGTGTTTGAATCTCCTCTAGAATAGCTTTCAGCGGGTATGTCAGTGAGGAAGACTCAATTTACGTACCTTCGCGCTGTGCTGCATCCTCCTTCAACCGGCTGACCACGCCGACAAGGTCTCTCTTCTCGCGCTCCACATCCTCGATACGGTGCTTCAGTGACTCTACCTCAGTCGAAGTTGATGTTTGTGAGGTTGAAACTGAGGCGAGCTGGACCTCTAGGGCAATCTTCGACGCGACTACGGAATGTTATGAACGAGTGGCCCAAGCACGCAACATGAACCACGTACGTATCGCCTCCTTCTCTTGTTTTGTCTGCCTGAGCTCATTTTGCATGCTGTCAGACACGCTCTCAAGGTCACGCGCTGCGGATTCGCGGTCCTGGAGTGCCTGGTCGAGTTCAACGTCTTTCCTCTGTAGCTCAGCCCTTGTATCTTCTAGCTCTCTCTGTATGACGTCCGCCTCGCTCGTGTGCGCGACCACGAGACGGTAGAGAGCCACAATAGCATCTGGAGACGGATTCTCTAGACTTATATCGGGGAGAAGAGCAGAGAGCACGTCGTAATCTAAGTCCTCGGGGAGGGATACAACATCCTCCGGGACGTGTGGCAGTGGCGGCACAGAGGGCGCGGGGGAGGGGTCGCGCGTCGGAGCGTCGGCAGAGGAGGCGGCAGCGGCAGCCTTGCTCTGCCTGCGTGTTTTCGTCATGGCCCGCGAGCCAGGGTTTTGCTCGTGGTGGTGGTGTAGACACCAGCGCGGAATACTGTTCTCACAAACACCACGAGCTGTTTGTGTCTATTTGGCCAACGCCTTGCGATCCTAACAGCGTCAAATATCCTGGGCTCCGTTGTGTCGGAAACAATGATGACACGTGGGAGCGTGGGATCACTGCATGCATCCTCAAAACGGTAATCATATAAACGACTGCTACTCGAGCATCGCAACCGTCTCAAAGGGCTCGTCACCTTCCGTCGTCCATCTCTTCGCTCCTTTCCTCTTTTACACGCTCCGGCTTGCTCAGAAGAGGAGTGCAAGTCTTTCAAGAATACACGACACCGAACACGTTGATCGTAGCTCACCATTATGTCCTTCTTTAACTCGATTGGGTGCGTTGGCACCCTTTGTGGAGGGAATTCTATCTCCTCACCTGAGAAATCCTACGTAGGCGGTCTATAACTCGTGCGCCACGCCCTCCCAAGCGATCGACGACCCCCACGTCCGCAACTTTCCCCCCAGACTCACAGGTACCACCAAGTCCGTCCAGCCCTCAGCCGGTGCAGAAGCCGCTGTTCCTCTGCAGTCCCTTTGTCGAGGCTGCACTTGTGAAGGGAAATTTCAAAACGATTGTCATGCAGCCAAAGTACACAGACATCATGGAATGGGTTGCCGTCAATAGTGAGTTGCGCGCTTTCGACGACAGCCGCCGAGTCTGATGTCTAGCCTCCCCAGTCTTTGACTTTTACACGAACCTCAACATGTTCTATGGTGTGCTGGCGGAATGTTGCACGGCTCATTCTTGCCCGTCAATGTCTGCTGGGGTTGCGTATGTGTATATTTGGTTTATGTGCTCCCCGCTCACTGAACGCGATCGTTAGTCTGAATTATACCTGGATCAACCAAGATCGCAAGAACGTGCAACTGCCTGCGCCGACATACGTCGACTATGTTATGACTTGGATTCAGAATCTTTTAGACGATGACAACACCTTCCCAACTAAGTCTGGTACGCGTTTCCCTTAGTTTTCATGCTTAAGATGTCTGATACTCTAGCGTTGTAGGCAAAGATTTCACCCCGACGTTTCCGTCGACAGTGAAGCACGTTTACCGCCAGCTCCTCCGTGTCTTTGCGCACCTGTACTACGCGCATTACACTCAAATCCTCCACCTGCGCTCTGAGCCGCACTTCAACTCACTCTTCGCACACTTCCTTGCATTCGGCACGGAGTACGAGCTACTAGATATCAAGGACATCAAGGGTCAACCAAATGTGCCCGTTGCAGTTGGCGCGTTATGGGAACGATGGAAGGAGATGGGCATCTTGGAGAACTAGAGGTCGTTGCTGGCTCGCGTCGCGCAGGGGATAAAATACATCATGGTTAATTCTTTCGGAAGTTCGTGTACATCACCGGTCGTTTGGATACTGCATTCCCTTACTCTCCTAAGCTTAGCCTCGCCCTCGGTCCAGAAAACCCATGTCCAGAATGAAATTTAATTGGATTATTGTGATGTGACTTACATCGGCCATCGGACTCTCTACACATTGTTATCGATAATAAGCGACGCGAAAGAGTTCGTAGAAGGTAGTAGAGCGAATGATGTACAGGACCCGTGACGGAGAATTGGGCGGGGAGTGTCGTACGCGGTAACCAAACAGGAGCTCTTTCACCGGGAGTTGCGCTTCGCCTTCTCGAGGACTATCCAAAGAAATGTTCATGTCGTGCTACACAGGGGAGACCGTAGGGCACTCACCGGTGACAAACTCCAGATCATCCTCATCGTTACCCTGGATTTCCACTGCGACGCCAAGTCGCGACTTCAGCGCGTTGTTTGATGCAGAGTAGACCATGCGCTGCTTGACAGAGGAGCTGCCGGGAGACCTGGTGTACAGCGGGGGATCGGTAAGGAGCAAGAATCGCCGACCGTTCGACAGATGCATGCTTACCAGTATACAAACAGGACCTTGTTCCTCTTGCCACCATCCTCGACCTCGTATTCAAGATCGTACACAGCCCATCTGCACTGGTCGTGGGGGAACTCCTTGAGGAAGACCTCGTAGTCGGGATCCTCCGACGTCTTGAGGACGACGATTTCCGTAAACTTGGGGTTGAGACCGTAGACGACGAATTTATGCTTCCTCTTCATGAGGTCCTGGTAGCTGGTGATGCAATCATCTGCGACCGCGACGCCGGAGGACTGCATGCGGCGACCGGAGTCAGGCAAACATAGGTCGTCGGGGGTACGCGGTACTAACCATGGTGTGGTTGTCGTGCGAGGTGTAATGTAGCGATGGAGGGGAGAGACGAGTTGCTTGTGAGCAGAAGAGATGACGGAGGTCGTCTGCTACATATAACCATATCAAGATGGCCGGCGATTGCCACTCCGATTCGCTCAGGTGCGGCTCAGGCAGCGCGCAGTCCACTACGCTTTCTTGTCCGCATCCTTCGCAGCTTGCTCGCAGCACTCTCTTTTGTATTCGCCCTCAGACCAAGCCATGCCCGTTAGGGTATTTTACGTTGCGATTCTTAGCTCACTACCGCGCGCCTCGGTTGCGTACGGCGGGATATCGTCTACCCGGGCTGTACGCGCGTCGATGTGTTTGTACAGAAACACGAGTCCAAAAGCATATCAACTACATTCTCCATTCAAGTACCATGAGCGCTGAATTGATACGACGGCTCGGTGCAGAGGCAGTGTATACTGCGCAGTAGATTTATGGCCTTAGCACTGGTATTCCTCCCTGGGCGCGGTGCTGATTATGTTTAGATCTGTTGGGTTTATGTCCTTGCTGTGCATTGTGCAGTGCATCTCATATCGATTACGGCGCGTTCCTTCGTACGGCATTTTTAACTAACGGACGGATGCCGTGACACATACCAGCGCAAGCACTTGAACACTTACAGTCTTATTGTCATAAGCTTTGTAAAGTCACCCTTGAGGATTCGCAGTTGGGCAGATTTGTATTGGACTTGACCTCTTTACGGCAGATGGCCTAGAGGCTTTTGCGCATGTTAACATCTGGTACTCAAAGCCGGAAAGATCTTAGGGTAATCGCTATCCCGCTGTTTGCGAATCCAACCACACTCGCCGCACCCGCGCGAAGAGTTACTAGTACATGCACGTGGATCAAGAAAAATACGCCGCATCTCTTCTGATTGTGACGTAGCATTACTTACCGGGGTTCAAGTATTAGCTCAAACCCTGATGCTTACTCTACTTCACTACTCACTAGCAGGCCTTTTGGTCTCCACAACCGCAACGACGTCCGAGTAGATACTAGTTGCTTGGGCATAATTAGTTGTTGCACTACACTTCGAAATGAAATAAAAACCGGCTCGTACCTAAGTTCTCAGATAACTCACCGCAATAGTTTGTTATTTAAGCATCTTTTAAGAAGAACCAAAGAAGAACTGTAACTACAGTCAAGGACCACAGAGCACCAGAAGATCTGAGCAATTCACGCGTGAAATTGTGCGCCTTGTCAGCAACAAGCTGTAAAATAACAAATCAGAAAGAGTCCAAAACTTTAAAACTGAAAAGGAGTACCCTCAACTTGAAAAAGAAACGAACGCTAGCCCACCGCGGGGGTCGAACTAGCAAAATGCGTCGGCAAATTCGCAAATTACAAAAAAAAAAAATCACTGCGAAGATCGTACCCGCAAAAGAATGACGCTAGCCCACCGCGGGGGTCGAACCCGCAGCCTTGAGATGCCGGCGCTTAAAAGTCTCACGCTCTATCCGATTGAGCTAGGCAGGCATAGATCTCTGACGGACTATATACATATATAAAGTATTCACAGGGAATCTCACGACGTCATCCTGACCGGTTCATTCCGCAAGGCCGCCGCTGCCCCGCTTGTTGTGAATCCAACTTTGCCCGCAGTTCGTCTCACAAGGTTGCCATGTCGTTCCAGCTTCCACGAGCACTCCTTTTCAAGGCTGCCCGCCCCGCTGTGCGCGTCGCAGGTCGCAATGCGGGACGTCGTACCATGAGCAATGCCGCTCACGCGTCGCAGCCAAAGAGCGACAAGCCTTGGATAGTGCGTTCTCAATGAAATACACACATTACATGTCATTCTTAAATCTTCTTTCATTATGGGTAGATTGGCTCGACCATTGTCTTTGGCTCCGCGGTGCGTCTCGAGTTCCCCTTGCAGAGAGGAGCTGTTCACACGACGGGAAAACTCACCAATTAACAGGCTGTCTATCTCGTAAGCCCACCTGGCAAGCAAAAGGCACACAAGGCCAAGGAGGCAGCACTACCCAGGGAATCATCTCCGGATCCCGACAGCGCGCCTGTACCCACTGGTAACGAGTCTGAGACTTCTCCTCCAGAATCTCAGCCTGAGGTATGTCAGTTCTATGTTTGCTCTGCTCTGGAAAGCTCAGCATACGACTCTGCCCAGGCTACCGTCTCTGATGACGAAGGTAACCAAGCACCTGCATCCGAAGTCACTGACTCCATAAACAAGGCGCTTGTAAGTCTTTTCGCTTTCGTGGCGCCTCGTTAAGCTTGACACGTCGGTTACAGGAGGAGGATGCGCCAAAGCTGGCCGAGGCTGCTGAGGCACATGCAGCGGAGAAACAGGAGAATGACACTAGCTCTAGCCCTGATGCCGCTGCCTCCGCCGACCCGAACACCTCTTCGCAGGGCTTCAGTACTGAAGCAGAGAAGAAGGACGAGGAGCCCAAGAAGGAGGATTCGCCCTGAGTCCTCCTCCGTGCCCCTTCGAGCACTTAACCAAGTGGCATAAATCTTGCGTACCGTCTTGGAATAAACAGTGCTTCATACATTCCCTCGCCTGTCGAACCAGAGCTATTTGCTGCACGAAGATGACGACTTTGGCCATGCCTGAAGCATGTTGAACAAAGTAGGTTCTCCGCTCAGTTACGGGGCGTGTGGGGCTTGTCACAATGTTTCGGTATAATTGGATATCCAGTTGATGATGAATCTCCTTCTGAGCTTCATATCAGATCTTAATCACTGCTGGCAGTGCACAAAGAACGAATCTTGACTGATGGCCAACACTGTGTATGTGTTATATAGGTAGAGCATACAGTGTCAAATTTCCACCCCAGAAGTGCTTAGGTAATGCCGAATATGTCGAGGGCGATGCCGACCAAACCTTCCCGGCGCAAGAAAGCCACGACCAAAGAAGTGAACTCCAATGTTCGATCCCTTCAGGACGAAACGGAGCCCTTGGTACGTCCCGCACATGACACTCATAGACCATGCATATCTGATTCTAGTCCAGCTTTTTCCGCGTACGAAAGCCTATGATAAGGATCGAACCACCAACTCTCGACCTTTTCAGAGCAATTTAAAGAGTCCGGTACGTCTTGTTTGGTAGTCTTACGCGCCGAGACTATTGACCCAGCTGTGAGTAGCCTGAGGGCAACCCCGAGCTCCCGACACATGCCACGGTCAGATTTTCCAGCTGAGCGGTCATTTTGTCGATATTCATTGAATTTAGAACCAACACCGCGGCTCCCTCGACAGCCAAATATCTAACCACTCCAATGAAGATAAAACGAAGGTCAGTGATACCAGTTCACAGCCCTGAACAACACTAACCCATGATGACTAGATTGCAGGACAAGGTCCTCCAAGTCCGACCTACGCGGAGGTAGCAGGAAAGCCTAAACCAAGTCGAGCTTCAACGCTAGTTGCTCAGACTGTCCGTACGGAGACAGGTTCTACACGATCCTTCGAGACACCAGCGCCTATTACTGCGACTTTGACACCGAGTTGTACTTTTCCAGACAACCACCTGGAGTTCTGCAATCCTTTCCACAGGAACCAGCCTACAGTCTATCTAGCGTCTTCGCACCACGGCAAGTTTGGAACCGAATTTGTAGAATCGATCCACAGTCTACGGGCCTTAGACGTCGAACAGGCACAGAAGACTCGGGAGCACATGATACACAAAGGGTTTGGGGAGGTCATGGAGATATATCGAGAACGTCTGTGCAAGGCTGTCGCATCCTGGGGATGGCCCAGTAACGGTGTGGAATCGTCATTTTGCGATTACTCCAGCAGTAGAAAGCGAGCGGCCGCTGAGACGACTCCCGCCATCTACGAGCTACAAGGTGCCCCGACAGCCACAGTTCCCCTACAGCGCTTTCACAAAGGCCCTTACACTATCCCTCGCGACAAAGCCAACGTGAGATTCTCAGACGTAAACCAGCTTCTGTACGGACTGAATGACGTGCTTGGAACGGAGTACACGATCGAACGCCCTGGTCTCCAAGCTTGCCTGCAGGGTTATCTGGACGAGTCGTGCGACTTCGGACAGGTATATGGCCATCTACGCCCCTGGTGGGCTAAAGACAACTTTCATCGCATCGCTGTACTCATGCAGCAGCGGAAAGATGAGGACGCTCAGCTCCGCAAGAACGCGGTTGATGGCGATTGTATCGTGAATCCCCATATTCCTCCCCGTCGCATCTGGGATTTGTACAGCAATCGCGTTCTTCCCTTTCATGTCCTGCCGGTGTCCTCTCCTTCCACAATCCCAGCTAACGTATGGGCTGTGTCCCACAGCTGGAAGGAGGCCTCGAAACGGCGCGCTCGGAAAACACGAATAAATGGCAAGACATGGGCCGTGCCTCTACCGCTGGAAACCGACCTTCACGGGGTCCGGATAGAGCTCCTGAATCTGGGTGCGGAGTACGTGTTCCTCGACGTGCTCTGCCTGCGACAGCACGATCCACAGACGGTGGGACAGGAATTCCGCCGAAAAAAGGAGTGGAGGTTGGATGTGCCTACCATTGGCTACGTCTACCAGCCCCTACGTGTCACCGTCGTCTACTTCAACGGACTCGGCGAGGAATTCCTGCTTGCTCCTCCGGGAGGGCTTAAAAGTCCCTGCCACTGGTTCATGCGAGTCTGGACTCTCCAAGAAGCCACCCAGTACTGGCTTCCCGGTGGTCTGACACACAAAAGCCTCGACATTTCCATCCCTAGACCAAACATGCAGTCCTTCTACTCTCGTCTGCACGACGTTTTGCAGTCATCAACGACCGCCTCGGCGTCAGACCCTGATCTCTTCCGAACGCTTGCAGCCATCCGCGATCGCCGCTTCTCAAGTCCAGTAGATTCAATCGCCGGGCTTGCCTACCCTCTTCGGTGCAAGACGCTGCCGATCTACAATGCAGACATGGACCTAGAGGACGCGTGGGAGGCCCTCATCCAGTCTATGAGTCCCCTTCAGCGTCTCATGCTTCTCATCTGCTGGCGGGGTCCAGGAGACTCCCGCGCCGGAGGATACACCTGGAGGCCCACTTGGAGACAGGTGACAGACTACCACCACCTATCTGGGCTGCACCTGGATCTTTTTGACGCGGGGTCTGATCCGCGAGCGATGGAGGACGAGTTCGTCCAATTCATGCCCAACGCCGGGCACCAAGACGGATCCGACGCGTACTTTCACTACGCCTACGTCATCAAAACTTGCTACATACAAACGAGTCCCGACGAATACGTCTCTGACTCGTCGGCGGCGTCGACCAGATCGAGCGATTCAGAGGACGAAGACACAGGCTACGAGTCCTCGGACACCGCCAGGGTGTCATCGCAGCACACGTCGGTAGACACCACAGCGTTCGGCGCATTCGTGGAGGTCCGCGCATACGGCCGCAAGTACACGTACAAGATCGCCAGGCTCGGCGCTCCGCTCAGCCATCCGAGAGACAAGTACACGCTCGTCGGAGTTTGCGGGCGCAGATATTGGATCGTAGGACGGGCGAGCGGGTCGCGTAGGATTGGAACTAATAGAGGGGCTGCGATAGCGCTCTCAAAGGTGGCTGTCCTCGAGCTCGATACGAGTGCTGGATCGACCCCGGAAAAGATAATCTCGGCCACGTTGATATGGTTGTCTATCGTTAATTCTAGAACTTGAATCTGTCGTAAGCCCTATCTATAACGCAATATATATGTAGTCCTTGATTCGACAGCGATATTCAATATATGTGGGAAGTCGTAGTTGTCCGGCCACTCCCGTCAATACATTACAATCAACTGGTGAAGGCGATGCCATGTTTTGAAATGTGGTAAATTATTATACTGGCTCACTCGACATGCATACGTGCGCGTCGGAGGCATTCAGACTCACTGCTGCGTGATATTGTAAGGGAGTGTTTATTCAAGTTCAGAGAAAGATCAACTTACTCGAGAGCTTGCAGCGGTTCTTACGGGAGTCCCCGAGGCTGCAAGAAAAATCAGGACGGATAGCTAGTGTCTCAACCACGCTGGCCAGCTAAACGTGGGATAATGTTTGGTGTGTTACTTACTGTATTGAGGAGATATTGGCTCTGCCTTACGATTGAGCAACATGTGTTACGAGCTTGATCTTCCCTCCTCCACAATCAACCGGATCGTCGCCGACCCCTCGATGCTGAACTCTGTCAGCGCGAACGCCACCGTGCTAGACGAGCTCCATATATCTCCCTCTGCTGCTGCGCACATCCTGTCCGGCTACAACAGCGGCTTCAGAACCGTCTTCATCATAAACGCGACGCTCGCCGCGACCGCGACCGTCGTCAGCGCGCTCATGATCCGCCACCTGACGAGGGACGACGAGGCGCAGCTGAGGGCTCGGGCTGAAGAAGAAGAGGCGCGTGAGGTAGACAAGCAAGGCACTGTGCGGACTGATATTGAGATGGGGACGTGGCACGACCAGACCGACGATGGGGTGGAAGGCAAGGCGTAGCACGCCCCGTGGTCGCGCACAGATTTTGTGCAGACGTGGTCACGGT